ATATAGCGCAAATCGAATCTGGGATGGGGAAGGATGAATCAAAGTATCCAAATTCACTTATGCAAGAGACTGAGATGAAGCAAGAACATCCACAAACTCACAAGGACTCGTGCCTTACATCAGGTAATATTGCTCCTCTTCTTGAGGAGATTGACCCTTGTGCTATAACTACTATTCCTGTTGAAGCTTTTGATAATATGAGTGATATTGAGGTGGATGAAGAAATTGTCTGTGAATCCCCTCATATTTTTGAACATGCTAATACTCATGTTGTTGCTCTTAGTGGTAGTGATTTGGATGAAGATGTTGTTTTGTGTGATGATTCACATGCCAACCATGTTTCTCTTCCTAGTGTTGAAAGTGTTGTTATTGATAAGTATGAGAACATTAAGGTTGCTAAATCTTGTTTGAGTGCAATTATTGATGACAAATGTGAGAATGATCATTGCCTTGAGAACCAATTGCATGATAATTCCTTTGAGTTAGTGGCTTTTAGTGTTGTTGAGAAAGACTCTGAAATTTTGAATGACAAAATTATGCATGTAGATGAGTCTTTTCAACAAGTTTTGTCTTGTGATTTGTCTCCTGATTTAGTTAGCTGTGTCAATAGTAGTATTCTGCATGAATCTTCTTCTGCTTTCATGTTTTTACCTCCCAACTCTTGTGAATGTGATAGTGATGTGCTGTACTCCAATAACTGTCAGTTGGATTCTTCAGTTTCCACGTCACATGAACCTAAGTGTTTCAAAACTTTAAATGATTGTTTGACTCCTACTGATGGGAGTATCATTGACTTTCTTGGATGCTGTAGCTATTTGAAGAGTCTAAATCATAAAATGTCTTTACTTTATTTGAAATATCTCGAGGTCTACATTGTTAGATCTGGTGCTGCTGCTGGCTTGTTTTCTGTGCAGGCACATAATTGGAAGGGATCTCCTCAACACCAAACTCCACCATATGCTCTTGGACCTCTTTCAATTGACCCTGAGCCACCACCAAGAAAGTGCAATCATCAAGAGCAATTCTTTTTGCTAAGTTTCATGTTTCTCATTATTGATGAGAATTTCTCTTTTAAGAGTCTAAGGCGCTTTAAGCACAAGGTTGTCTCTTTCCTCACTTATTTTCTCTTAACTTTGCATCGATTAATTGTGCTTAACTGAATTATTGAAGAGGATAAGTGTGGGGGAGCTATTCTAGTAGAAAAGTAACCTTGTTTTTGTTTACTCCCTTATTGATCCTCTTTTTCTCTTGTCATTACCTTGTCCTTGGATTTTGCATTGAGGACAATGCAAAATTTAAGTGTGGGGGAGGGATTATTGTTGAGTTGTTGAGCTGTTTTGAAAACAAAAAAATTTGCCTTTGGAATTGATTATGTTTCCTAAGTATTGCTGCTATAATTGCTCTCTTCTCTACCTTATTGGTTGATTTCTGAATTGCATCGCATGATTGGAGAGTAATTCTTGCTTAGGAATTTTTGCTGGTGGTTTCTATGTCCTCTTGCTTTCATTCGCCTCAGTGTTCTGCACTGCTGTATGGGCGAGTTGCTGTTCTCTCTGTTGTTAACTTGACTTTTGTAATCCTTGGGCATCTCTTTTAAAATCCTTTTGCACAATGCTTGTGAATGTTGTACGGCTGAGTTTGATTGCATTTGATTTGAGTGGTTTTTGTTCTTAGTTGATTAGTATAGTAGAATGCCTTTGGTGCAGTGTTATTAATCTTCTTTCATAGCTTGATCCATAAGGAAGAAACATCTTGGAGAAAGCCTTGATGGAAGGATTTTTGAGCCATGTATTCTTTCTCATCTTGTGTGATTTTCACCTAGTTTTGGTTAACCTCTAGAACTTGTCTAGATTCTTTTTCAAAGCTGCATTAATACTTGGGTTTGTGAAGATGATAGGGGCATTCATTTCTAAACCCTTACCCAAACACAAACCACTTCATTTAACCTTTGTTCACCCCTTTGAGCCTTCACTTTCATTCTATTCATTGCTTTTTAGCAAATGTTTTGCATGAGTTACATTTGGTTTTTCATTTTGAAAAGTACATCACTAATGTCTATATCTTTGCCTTCTTGGGTTTGGATGCCAAACAAAAAAAAAGCAAAAAAAAAAAGAGACAGAAAAAGGCAAGAAAGAGAAGAAAATGTTTAGAAAAAGCCAAAGAAAGAAAGTTATAAAAAAAAAAGAGAGAAAATAAGTTGCAACAAAAGAATAAATTTGAAATAAGGCATTCCATGGTGGTTTGAAGAGCAATGATTTCTGTCTCAAAAGGTTAAAATCTGCACATTGGTGTTGTTTCATGATTGTACTTTAGCTCACTTTGAGTTGATTATTTACTACTCATGCATTTCACTTGTTAGTCCATTTCATTCACTTGGCCATAGTTTCCAACATTACAACCCTTTAAGTCCCCTTGATCATGAGTCTAAGGTATGTTAGTGGTGGAGATATTAGAATTTCTACAAGCTTATGGTAGGTACTAATCTAGGTGGATTGAGTGAAATTTTTCCCATTTGAGAGATGAGTGAAACACTTGTACCATATGTGAGCTCCATTATGTTTCTCTTCTTTTATCCTGCTATGTTTCTTATGTTAATTTCTTTGCACTGAAGTATTCTATGATTGCTGATTGATTAGGAATAAAGGTTACTTGAGTTAATTGCACATTCATACTTAGTTAGTTTTATGTTTACTTGCATTGAGTGTCTCTATTGGATTCTTTTTTAATGTTGTTTTGCTCAGGAGTGCAAAAGGCTAAGTGTGGGGGAGTTGACAAACTCAATTATTTTTATATATTTTACTATCTTTTATATGAGTTTTGTCAGCTTAATTGGTCCCTTTTTGCCTTAATTGATTTAATTTATTTTATTTCGAATTATTATTTTATAAGGGCAAAATTGTCATATTTTGGTTTAATTGTGATTAATTGATTTTTGAGGACAATTAATGCTACCTTATTTTTGAATTTTGTTTCAGGGTTTTTGAAAGATTTAAAATAAAAAATAAAAAAAAATAAAAAAGAAAAAAATATAATTCAAAAATAAATATATAATATAATAAAAAGAGGGAGCAAAACGTTGTGTTTTGCTCCCCCAACCTAATATACTATAATTCAATCATCTTCTTCAGCGGAGGAGGGGAGACACGCAAGGGAGGCGCACGAAACGCAACAGAGCACGGACGGCGGCAGAGAGGAGAGAGTGAGGACTGGAGGTGTTCGACGGCGTGAGCTCAACAGAAGTCACTGTGTTCTTCAATCCCATTCCTTGGACGAGACAGAGCTGGAGGGCGGAGCTAGACGGCGCAGGGAACCTGGAAAAAGAGCAAGACGCGAGACGGAGAGAGAGCTGGACGGGAGCAGAAGGGCGAACCAGGCGGCGAGACCGTTGACCGCAATCTCTCCATTCATCTTCTCTACGTCTTCTCACTGGTGGCAGAGAGAAGACGGCGAGAGTGACAGAGACGGAGAGGACACAAGCGGCGCTGAAAACAGAGCTGAGGTGCGGCGGACTGAACGAGCAGACACGAGCTGGAGCGACCTCATCACCTTCCTCTGTCTTCTCCGTGAGTTATTCTCGGCGTCAACAGAACCAGTGAGACCAGCGACGGCGATCATCTTTTCCCTCTCCGTGTTGCGACAGAATCAGAGGACCAAAGGAAGCTCGACGGCGTCATCTCCTCCATGGAAGCTTGCAATAGAGAATTGCTGGTGGCAGCGAATTTGATGGCAAACCGTGGCTAATTCATGATCCTTCAATTCAACAATAATGGCAGGAGCTTGGATCTTTAAGGGGGAGTTTTAGTTGCTTTAATTTCCTACTCAATAATTGTTTAACAATTCCTAGGTCTTAGGATAGTTTTTCTGATTATTGGGATAATTGTATTGCTTAATCTGTTTATTATTTGGGGATTATTGTGACTGAATTATTGCTTAGTATTTGACATTGGGCTGTTTATAGTTTTGATCTCAATTATAATGTTGTGGTTATGACATTTGTATTGATTTTGGAATTAATATATTGTGGTTTTCTAAGGTGGCTTAGAATTTTGGATCATATAGTCTCTTGCTAGCTTTAATTCTGTTATTTTGGATTTAAGAGTTCTAATTAAGCATTGGTTTTTAGCATCCTTAATCCCATTTTACTATTCTGGTTGCAGTTAGTAAGTTGGGATTTTAGGAAAATATTTTGTGGCAACTCGAGGTGGCTCGGTTGTTGGATCAAAAGCTTAATTATAATTCTTAATTCATTGTTTTTAACTCCCACATCTTTTAGAGTGATGATTGCCTGCGTTGTTGAATTGGAGGATTGATTTTTATCAGTGTTATTTGTGTGTCTCATTTTCATTTCTTTAATCTCCATTCATTTTAATCACTTTTATATAAAAACAAAAAAAAAAGTATTTTAATTTCAATTTAATTCGTAGTATTTAATTAACAGCTTTTCAAAATCAAAAATCTCTTTTTATAGTTTAGGTTACTTGCATTCATTTACTAGGGTTTAATTTCGTTTTCGGCTCCTCAAAGTGAAACGACCCGAGTTGTGCACTATATTGCATTAATTCGGTTAATTTTTGGAGTAACCCCAAAGCGACAATTAAGGGAAGTTCAACTTCAGACAGAAGAACTCATAATGGGAAGCAACAACGGTAAAACGGTATTGAATGATGCAGCTTTTCCAAATGCACCTTCTTCTTAGGATTCGAGGACCAAAGGGGCTGTAACTTATGTCAAAGACCAAGGCAAATGTGATAACTATAAATTTACTTTTTTTTTTTGTTATAAACTAATCATAAGAAAAGTATAGTAGCAAAATCAAGTCCATTTTTATAGGTAGTTGTTGGGCATTCTCTGCAACTGGAGTCTTAGAAGGAATAAATAAAATAGTTAAGTAATGGCTTCCAGTTCTTTCTGAACAACTCATATCTTGCGATAAGAATAACAAAGGCTGTGATGGAGGATGGTACGGCAATGCATTTCAATACGTCATCAACAATCGTGGTATGGCCTCAGAAAGGAATTACCCATATAAAGCTAAAGATAGGGCTTGCAATTCCACACTTGTTAGTGTTTATTAACTGGTGCCTAGCTTTGTGTCTACTAATTGGCTAGTTTAAGTACATGTATCTTTTCTAATTCTAGTTTTATGCTAGTGATTTTTATTTCATTTTGATGCAGGAACAGAAGAAATTTGCTACTATTGACAGTTATAGTTATTGGTATCACACACCTATATCCGAAAGTTTTCTCCGTTGTCTTGTTTTTAAGCAACCTATTAGTGTTTCCCTATATGCAAGCCCGCATTTTAAGTCTTACAAGGGTGTAAGTCAAATTTTCATTATCATCCAACAAGACACATTTGAAAAGTAATTAATAGAAATTTTCATTATCATCCAACAAGACACATTTGAAAAGTAATTAATAGTTGCTTTCTTAACTTTGGCAGGGAATCTTTAATGGGAACGATTGCTCAAGCATCGGTTCCTGTGAACACAATCATGCTGTATTAATTGTAGGATATGGTTCAACCAGTGATGATCAAGACTATTGGATTGTCAAGAACTCATGGGGACCCTCTTGGGGACAAGGTGGCTACATCTTCATCAAAAGAAACACCGGTGCTGCTCACGGAGTATGTAACATAAATTGTTCTGGTGCATAACCAATCAAAGGGAATAAAGAAACACCAGTTTTGAAGCTTGCTGCTTCTATGCGAACATGCCCTCTCATAATAATAAATAAATCTGAGCAATATATATCCGTGCGAAATGCACCAGTCTGTTGTACTATGCATGTATTGGGCATAAATAAATGGCAAACGATTTGCTATGAATAAAGCTTATGTATGTTTGATGAAGAATGAAAGATCTATATGTGTACTTCATTGATCTCCCATCCATGCTGCCTTGGGGGTCAAATTAATTCTAAACTAGAAGTGTAACTAATCTAAGCTGATCTCTAAACGGAGCCTATTATCTAAGTTCCTAGATAAATAAAATATCAATAGCAATTTAACAATTGAGCGGGTATGGGTGGTTTTATCCAGAAAACTTGACTGTTGAATTTCAAAATGACAAATAGATGATTTTAACCAATTTTGAAGTACAAACCATTATAAGTGCAGTCAAAATCATTATAAGGATAGTCAATATGACCTATTTATCTTTTTAAGATTTAACAAGTATTTTTCTGTCATTTTTCTTTTATCTAATTGAATTAAACCTTGTTTACTTCAAGGTATTAATGAATGAATGCAATGGAGTAAGTGATGTCTGATGCGATGAGATGAGCATTTCCTTGATGAATGAATCATTCCAAGTCCCAATTAGATTGAACTCGTCATCTCTTTATTATGTGTTAATTCGCATAATGACCCTCCAAGTGAATGACAATAACCCTAAACAATGCCTAACCACCTAGATATTGGTACACTTTGTTAAATAATCTAGGGTTAAAGTGCATTCAACACCCTGAAGTATCTTCTTAGGCGCATCTAGCACCTCAAAATATTTTGTAGTGCATTCGATACTCTAAAATATTTTCTAGGTGCATCCAACACTCTGAAGTTCTTTTTTTTTTTTTTTGCCTTGGTATTGGATGCACCAAAAATATTTTTGGGTGCTAGGAGCACTAAGAAAAAAATACTTTAAAGTGCTGAATGCACTAAAAAATACTTCGCCATGCCAAACGCTAGGGTTGGTAATATGAGTTGAGCCAAACTTGCCAAGAAGTAGGTTGGATTGATGAAAATCAGGCTCATTTTAAAATGAATCTTTTGAATCTATAACCACCAAGATCAAACCCACGGCAGGCTAACCTGTAAGGTTGGCGAGCCAACACGTTTTATTTTATTTTAAATTTTTCCCTCCCGTCAAATATAATTATGTTTACTCCTTTGATCCTTTATCTCATTCTTATTATTTAAAATTACCATAATGCAATATATCTTTCACTTTGTATTATAAATTTTATTTGTGGCAAAGTTCATTAAAATGGTTCTACTTATCAAACCCAACCAAATAATTTCATATCTTCGTATCATTCTTTGAACTATATTAACATTGAATGGTGGCTCATGGTTGAGCACTTAATAGTGATTTGTAACGTTGTGTTTGTATTATTATCGATCTAGATTTGTTATGTTTTAATTTGGGATGTATGTTTAATCATTTAGGATAAACTATCATATATGCTTAATATTTTGGAATGTTTGGAACCTTAGATTTCATATTTTATTTATGATAATTTCTATTTGTATATTTTATTTTAGGTGTTTAAGAATTAGAATAGACTTTATTAAAAGAAAACAAAAGGCACCCAAAAAAAAATGGCGAGTTGGTGAGCCCAACCCACAAACTCATCCTGGTGGGCTGGGTTGGTAAAATATCATCCCACTAGAAGTTGGTCCTTTTAGGACCAACTGATCGGTCCTTGAGCCCGCCACAGGCCAACCTATAACCAGCAGGTTGGCCTGTATTACCAGTTTTATTGGATGCACCTAAAAAAATACTTCAAAATATTGGACACACCACAAAATACTTTACGGTACTAGATATAACATCCAAAATATTTATTTTGGGATTCAAGTTTTATTAAAAGGAGATTAATTAATAGTACTTAAATTTAATCTTATTGCCTAAATTATAAATACTAATTTGGATGAAAAGTATATATAATTTTAAAAAAATAATAATAGTTTTAAAAAAATTATTATTAGACAAATAAAAATAAAAATAATATATGTGTGTGTGTGTATATATAAAGAGGCAAGCAGGTGAAGGGGGGTAAATCCCCTCGTGGGCCGTGGCCCTTACAAAAATTTTATTAAAAAAAACATTTCAATGGCGGGGTCACGTGTACCCCACTCTCAAACCTTTTTTCCCCTCCCCTTTCTTGCTTCGCCTTCGTGTTCCTCTGGTCCGTCTTTTAGCAAGCTGTAGGAGCAAGTTTGAGAGAGGGTGAGAGGAAAGGAAAAAAAGGAGTCTTATTTTGGTCTTATATAAGATTTTTAGGTAATCCATTTTTATTCTACTTTTTCTATTTAGCTTCTTCTTTTTGTTTTTGTAAGTTTATGACAGAAAATAAAATTTATCAGGGCTTGATAGATTTTTTCAATCTTTGGGGCTTCTAAGTTATTATCATGATATTAATGGAGCTTTATAGGGTTAGAATAGGAGTTTTATGACCTAGATTTTTTATTTAGATGGTTGATTTGAGGAAATATAAGTTAGGGTTTGCTTGAAAAATTGTTAATTGTGATAATAGTGATATTAATTTTGAATTTGATCTCTTAGTTTAGTTCATTGGAGGTTATATTGGAGATCCAATGCTTGAGTTTTGAGGACTTTGTTAGAATATGAATGTTGAGAATTTTTGGAGGAACTTTAACTAGTGGAAGTTGAGTGTTTTGAACAAATTGGGAAAAATATTATAATTTATTGATTCTAATGAATGGGGAGTGATTGGATTATTGGAAGGAGTTATCCTTATTGATAATTTTAATAAGTAAAATAGAGTTGATAAGTTTTAGGAATGGATTGGAAGAATAGATGAATTTTTATCTTTTTCCTAAAGAATATTTTTTTTAAGTGAGCCAATTATGGGGATCTAACTAATAAACTATGTAATGTTATATTAATTAGTTTTTTTTAGTAATACATGTTTATAAATTTATTATTGTAGAGTGACCTTGGTTTGGGCTCTTGAGTCTTGAATCTTCTTATTTTAGTTCTTATGTCAAGAATTTAAAGTAACTACTTTCTAATTTATCTTGTATGTTTGCTGATGTGATTATAAGCATATGGTGATATTATAAATATTATCATTATATGTTAGTGTTTTATGTATAACAAAAAGTGTGGAATAAAAATATGAAATTTATGTTTTGATAAATTTGTTAGTTAAGCGTACATGAATTGTTTGATCTCGAGATTATATTGTTGATGTTGAACAAAATTAAGTATTGAATTTGGAAATAATTTATGGACATTGAATTGTATGAAATTGAACTGTTGAAATGCTTATGGAACTGTATCAAGTTGTGATGGAGTATGATTGTAGGAGGCTTAGTTGTTTCGTACCACATGGTATAGCCGCCACTTGGCAACCAATGGCTGGCTTTAACATTCTTAGGGTCCTTGGTATCACCCTTTCTTTGGCCGGGTCAAGAGTCAACCCAAGAAACATGACACCTTTTCATATTTCAAAGAAAGAGGACCCACAATCCGATATGAGCTCTGTAACTTTTGGGTGAGTTACACTTTATTATTGGAGAGTGACAAACTCAATTATTTTTATATATTTTGGTATCTTTTATATGGGTTTTGTCAACTTAATTGGTCCCTTTTTGCCTTAATTGATTGTTCTTTGATTTATTTTATTTTATTTTGAATTATTATTTTATAGGGGCAAAATTGTCATATTTTGATTTAATTGTGACTAATTGATTTTTGAGGACAATCAATGCTACCTTATTTTTGAATTTTGTTTGCAGGTTTTTAGAAGATTTAAAAATAAAAATAAATAAATTAAGAAAAAGAAAAAAATAATAAAATAATAAAAGGGGGGAGCAAAACGCTGCGTTTTGCTCCCACCCCTAATATACTATAATTCAACAGGGGACCGGAGACACACGCTGAACACACACACGAAACAGGGGAAGCGGCACCAGCGAAAAAAACGAAGAGGCCGAACGGAAACGCACGCACACACGCGAGGCGGCTGGAGAAGGAGATACCTGACGCTGAACACGCTAGAGGAGGAGATGAAACCCACGAGCAGCACAAGGACCAGCGACGGCGATCATCTTCTCCTTGTCGCCCAGATTGCGTTCTGTCTTCTTCCATGGGTGACTGCAAAATTCTGAATATGACATTTTTTATGGCAAACCGAGGCTAGAATCTATAATTCTCTAATTCAACAATAATGGCAGGAGCTTGGATCATCAAAGGGGAGTTTTAGTTGCTTTAATTTCCTACTCAATAATTGTTTAACAATTCCTAGGTCTTAGGATAGTTTTTTCTAATTGTTGGGATAATTGTATTGCTTAATCTGATTATATTTGGGGATTATTGTGACTGGATTATTGTTTAGCATTTGACATTGGGCTGTTTATAGCTTTGATTTCAATTATGATGTTGTGGTTATGACATTTATATTGATTTTGAAGTTAATATATTGTGATTTTCTAAGGTGGCTTAGAATTTTGGATCATATAGTCTCTTGCTAGCTTTAATTCTATTATTTTGGATTTAAGAGTTCTAATTAAGCATTGGTTTTTAGCATCCTTAATCCCATTTTACTATTCTGGTTGCAGTTAGTAAGTTGGGATTTTAGGAAAATATTTTGTGGCAACTCGAGGTGGCTCGGTTGTTGGATCAAAAGCTTAATTATAATTCTTAATTCATTGTTTTTAACTCCCACATCTTTTAGAGTGATGATTGCCTGCGTTGTTGAATTGGAGGATTAATTTTTATCAGTGTTATTTGTGTGTCTCATTTTCATTTCTTTAATCTCCATTCATTTTAATCACTTTTATATAAAAACAAAAAAAAAGTATTTTAATTTCAATTTGATTCCTAGTATTTAATTAACAGCTTTTCAAAATCAAAAATCTCTTTTTATAGTTTAGGTTACTTGCATTCATTTACTAGGATTTAATTT